GTGTGTGTGTGTGTGTGTGTGTGTGTTTTAAGTATTTTCTTGTTTTTAATTTATTTTCATTCTCTCATTTTTATGTCCTATTTGCTACAGTTATTTTTTATATATTACATAAAGTATTCTCACTGTGCATGAAGTGTCTTTTCTCTGTTTCCTCATGCAGTTTAAAAATAAGGATATGAGGGTATTTATAGACATTTTGAACTGACCTTAGGAGGGTACACATGCATGTTTTGTCACTGTGTAGGACTAGCAACCTAGCTATTGTCTGTTGACTACTAAGATAAGTTTAATTTGCTTATTTTTATTYATTTTTTTAGTTCTACCTTACCTTGAGAGTAAGGAAAAGAGCAGAAAATGTTGCCCATTTCCCCCCATCTGCTTGTCTTACCAATGTATGATGTCCGTGAGTTATTCCACAGGATGTAGTTTCTTCAGAGTTGATGCATTCAAGCTTTTCACTGTCTGACTCACTGATGTGACACATAAAACACAAACTGTGCTGGGGTTTAACCTTACATTTGGACATGTTGCCATCTATTCCATCAAGTTGAGCTCAAGCATAAAAGCATAGAGCAGGTGAAAATWGGTCTTTTTGCTCACAAAGCTGACTACACATTTGTTCATTTGAAACTGCTGTTCATTCAGTGTGCATGTGCTTTATTATTCGCACACTACACCCTCCACTCTAACTTCAGGCTGTAAGCACTCCAGGGATCGTCATCAGAAGATGTCCCTGAACTAGCTTCCACTGCTCTCTTAACACAATGAGGTCATCACTGGATCAATCTGCTGTRAGATGAAAAAAAAAGTTTTCAAATCTCCAAGCTCTCAAAACCCCATGCTTTATCCTCAAAGTAAAATAATTTAGGGCAGGAAAAGGGATTGGGGTTACAGTTTCTAAAAACTAAGGCTGGAGGTTAACACTACATGAGGAGAATGATGTTTGCTGAGTGCTTTTTTTTCTTTCTGTTGGCATGTAAATATTATTCACATTGCTTGAAATCGAAAGCCAGATATTTAATTTCTGAATGCCTGAATCACAAGTAAACACTCTAAATGGCCTTGCAATCAAAATGACAGCTATTTTGGGGGAAATAAACATTTCAGGCAAAAGCTTTTTATCTAGCAGCAGAACTGGAACAGTGTCAGGTTACAGCATGTAGATTTTAATGACTATACAGAACCTTGTTGCCTTTGAGAAATATAATGCAAGATAAATCAGCAGAACTTTCTCTGCAGACAATAAAAAACTTAATCAAAGGCACGGAGGGAAAAACACAGTGGCAGTGAGTGCATCTGAAATAAAACAGCAAGAATTTGCAATTATTGCTAGAACCGATAAAAACCCTTGTTTGTAAGCAACACATGCAAATAAATAAAAACCATTTACTTAGCAAAGCTGTTTTGTAATGGTATTTTAATTATATTTTTCAGTCTCAATGGTCTAATTTATTTTTTTCACTGCAAAATGCACTCAAATTAATATGAAAGTGTAGCAAGACTCATATTTCAGCAATAGTTTGGCAGAAGGGTATTCCAAATATCCTGTTTAAAATACCTCACCACCTAATTAGTGGGTTTTCATCAATTTTTTTGTGGCTATTAGAGACATTTTTCTCTACCATTATCTGGGAGTTGTACGTTCATTACCATAAAATAAATAAACAAAAACTATTTACAAAGACTGAAATAACACATGGTCAATAAGTAATTGTTGGAATTTGCTGTTTCCAATTTTGGTCTCTGTTGTTTTTTTTTATTATTTTTTTTTGTTTTTAGATCAGAGAAAAATGGGCTGTTAAAAATCTTCTTTTCACTCTTTGTGACAGACATAATGTGTTGAAAATTGTTTGATAGTTGCGTACAGTTGCAGAGAGGGAGACTGATCACAGTAAAATTCCCACATCCCGTTGCGTAATCATTACAGCGAGGATTCATGTGTTTGTGTAATTTCTATCCAAAGTGCTAAAAGAAAAAAAAAAGTTTGGCGAAACATCTTTCAACCTTCCTGCTTTTCTAAACTCTGTTRAGTCCTGAGGGTCTTGTTTTCTGTGTTCTCTCCTGCTCTTTGACTCTTCAGAGCTTCTTCGTTGTTTTAGATTTTTCTTTGTGGTTCAAACATAATAGATTCAATTTTTTTTGTTTCCCTCCAGTGCATCCTCAGTCAAGAATTAAATATTGGCCAGGATTTCAAACGGGGTTGAAATTAATCTTTTAGACTACTGTCAGATATAATTTATTACTGAGGATGAATCATGTTAAGCCCCACCAGGTGAATTTACTCCTGCAGGAGTTTGCACAGATAAACTCACCTGGCTGGCATTGCACCTGTTTGGTCTCCAAATTGATGAAACAGGAGCAATTATAAATTTTGACTTTTTTTTCTTTAAATCTATCATTTGGGTTCCTATCATATAGATGCATGCAGTTTTTACAGTTGAGTCATTTTGAGTATGCATCATTTTACAACAAATCCTCTGAGGTTTTTGCATTAGAAACAAAAAGGAATCTTTACAGCAATAACGCTCTATTACCTGATGTTTCCCCCTAAACTGATATTGCTGATTGGTTGCTAACATTATCAAATAAACTGCATCAAAAACAAGTAGATATGAAAATGTGCGTGATACTTTGGTGGGTTGAAACCTATTAGGGGCAACGTGGTTTCAAAGTCTGCAAATGTGCAAATTTTCATCTCCGCACAGAGGGAAAAACGAACGTCAGATATTTACTTTAGCAATCTAATCAAATCCCCGAGGGGACTGTTTCTGCTCCAGTGGAAAAAAAGCAGTTATATTTGTGAAATGTACTGTGGATTATTATGCACATTCAGAGAGGAGGTGGCAGATTTGTGATCACGCTGTCCTTTTTTTGCATCGCCCTGCAGCTTGCTTTGTGAGCCTTCAGGGTTGTTAGGAGTGTGTGGACTAGATAAGCTCACGGGCCGTCTCCCAGAGGTGCAGACTTTACAATAGGATTGGGAATGACAATGATACAGCATCTGTCTGTCATTTCTGTCTCTGTGTTTGTGAATCTGAGGCTTCCATCCTGAACCTTTGAGTGGCACAAGACAAAAACCATCTCAGGTGGTTCCTCAGATAAGATTTGCGGACAACAATGAAAGGCGAAATGAGTCAATCAGATGTTCCAAGTTTTTTTTTTCACGTGGTGTTAAAACATTAATTATCTTTAGGATGAATGAAATTGGCGGGTT